AAGTTCCTGAAGCGACGACGACGTGCACAGAGCAGTGATAAGGAAATCAAACACGAGATTGCCGTCCTAATGCTCTGCGAGGGCGAGGAGAATATTGTCAATCTGAATGCGGTGCACGAGACACGCTCGGACACAGCCCTGCTGCTGGAACTGTAAGTGTTGTTAAGTCGCAAATGTGATCCTCTTGGCTGACCCTTAATTGACTCTCTTCCTCGTGTGCAGTGCCACTGGTGGCGAGCTCCAGACCATACTGGATAACGAGGAGTGCCTAACAGAGGCCCAGGCCCGACACTGCATGCGTGAGGTGCTGAAGGCGCTCAAATTTCTACACGATCGATCCATTGCCCACTTGGACCTCAAGCCACAGAACATTTTGCTCGCCGGCGAGCGCATAGAAGGTGAGTCCCCGTCCCCCCCCACACCACACCAGTGTGTCAGCAAACACTTCTAATGCTCTATTCTCAGATGGCCTCAAGCTCTGTGACTTTGGGATCTCGCGTGTTGTGTGCGAGGGCATCAATGTCCGTGAAATGGCCGGCACACCCGACTATGTGGCCCCCGAGGTGCTCCAATATGAGCCGCTTTCCCTGCTAACGGACATTTGGTCCGTGGGCGTACTCACCTATGTCCTGCTCTCCGGCTTCTCGCCCTTTGGCGGTGACACCAAACAGGAGACCTTCCTCAACATATCGCAGTGTGCGCTCACCTTTCCGGACAACCTATTCGGTGGCGTCTCCCCAGTGGCCATTGACTTTATACGCCGCGCATTGCGAATTAAGCCAAAGTGAGTACAAAAATGACAAACTGTAGTCCAGTAGTCAGGCGTCAGAGATATTTAAATGTTGAATTCTTACAGCGATCGCATGAGTGCCGCTGGATGCCTGGAGCATGTCTGGTTGAAGGATGAGAGCTCGCTGGATAGACAAATGTATTTGCAGGCACAGAGTGATGCCGAAGAGGAGGAGGACGAGGAGGAGGTGGACGAAGATGATGAGGAACTTGAGGATGAGGAATTGGAGCAGCCAGTGGCTGAGGAGAAGGCAGAGGAGCAGCAGCAGCAGCAGCAGCAGCAGCAGCCACAGCCACAGGAGCCACAGAAGCAACAAAAGCCCAACAGTGGCAGCAGCAGCAGCAACAAATCCACGCACAATGGCCTGGGCCACCAGCGGGCCCACAGCAATGGCAGCAATCACAGCAGCAGCAACAGCAGCATCTCAAAGATACCCATTGCCACTGGGAAGCTTTTGGGCAGCAACAGTCCCAGCACAGAGACAACCACAGCCATACACACGCTGACCAGCAATGGGCAGGCAATCTGCCTGCCTGCCAAGCCCACACAGATTGTGACGCCGACACGCCGTGCCTCCGACTCGGACAAGGAGAACACATACACGGCCACGTTTGTGAAGAAGCCCCCGGTGCAGGCCACCATACAGCTGGGCAGCAATGGCCTTGAGGAGTCCTCGACGGTGGTGGTGGCCACCCTCACGCTCTTTCCCGATGCCCCCACCACACCGAAAGTGATCCGCAAGACACCAACGGGCGAGTCGAATGGTTCGGCCACATCGGTAAAGGCTCTGGTCAAGAAGTTTCAGCTGGAGGAGACGCTTGTGTGCCCGGGAGGAAGCAGCAGCAGCAGCAGCAACAGCAGCCACAGCAGCAGTCCCAGCAACAACCACAATGGCCATAGTCCCATGAACGGCTGCAGCAACGGCAACAGCAACAATATGCGACGCAGTGCTGGTGGCAATAGCAGCCACATTAGCTATTCTGCAGCAGCCGCGACAGCGGCACGAATGCATTGCATTCGTCGTGCCTCCGAGCCGCTGACGGCCGTTTACAAGAAGCAGCCACAGAATAGCAGCAACAGCAACAGCAACAGCAATTGTTCCAGCAGCAGCAGCAGTAATCCCAGCCCTGGCAGCAGTCCCAATTCGGGTAGCACGGCGACACTGCTACTGAACAGCCATCGCCTGGCGTCCACGTCGGTGCCAACGAGCACGGCCATGGTCACGGTCAACGGCAGCAGCGCTGTAGCCACAAGCAGCAGCAGCAACAGCACCACCAAAGCACCGACTGCCGCCACTGCCCATCATCTGCACCATCACCACATGCATCACCATCATCATCATCATCACCATGTGGTGATTGCAGCCAAGAACGCAGCCGCTGTTGCCGCCACCAACAACCTGAGCCTGGACCAGGGTATCATCTGTTAGCTAAGGGTTAGCCGTGCGAGCCGCAATGCCAAAAGTTTCTTTCATCGCTTCCTCTGCTGCATGTAACAGAGCCCGTCGCGGCCCAGATCCCCCCAGCTGTTGCAGCGTCGCAGCAGCTCTCCTAGCTGCGGGTCTACTAGGAGAGAGCCGCCCATGGGTAGATCGAATTGGATTGGCCAGCCTGCCGATGGTAATGGGATCTGGTGCCGCAGAGGAAGATTAAGGCGATGGATAGGAAGCTGGAGATGGAAATGGAAATGGAATTGGAGTGATGGAAGATGGAGATGGAGATTAGACGATGAGGAGGAGGAGGAGGAGGAGGAGGAGCAGCAGCTGGATCAACAGGAGGATGCATTGATTTGATTTTGCAGTTTGTCTTAGTAAATGTTTATTGCCTTAGTGTCTAGGTTTGATCTACAGCAGAAAGGGAGCCCCCAACCCCAACCCCAACCAATCCCAATTCAATGTTAGCAATAGTACACCCCCGCCCCCCCTCCCCCTCTCAACACCACCTCATCTACACACCACACACAGGGGGCATGGAGAATGTTGGATGGAGGATGTAGCTAAATCTATAAATCAGTTTTTATCTATAGTCTAAATCGAGTTGGCAGCTCTGCGGCCGCATTGGCAAAGGCAAGGAATATACAAAAATTAAAATAAAAGAGAGAATTAAAAAACGAAGATGAAAGAGATGAAGGAAAGATAGAGAGCAATATGGAGGGGGAGAGTGATGTTTAGTGGATTAGGCAAAATGATTTCAACGGGAATTTTGGTAGACATATCATTCATGTTTGTTACACATACACAGAGACACACACACACACACACACGAACACAAAATGAGTGTAAGAGCAAAGAATATAATAAAAGTTATATGAGAGATTCATAGGAACAACAAATCCATTTTGTATGTCAATTAGAGTGCGTTCTGGCATAGCATAAATTATACAATTTCATACGTTACCTATGCATATATTACATATACATATATACAGAGAGATATATACCATGGAAATCTATTAAAACTAAATACATAAATTATATTAAATGTATCCACCAAAAAAAAGCAAAAAAAAAAAAAACAAAATGTGTTGCAACCATTCGTTATCTTAATATATATAGAGTTATATGCAATCAAGCCAGCAATCAATCAATCAATCAATCAATCAATCATGTAGATGTGTTGTTCGATTATAGAAGGCAATTTTTAGAGAATGTTACAACAAATTGTTAAATTGTGTGTCGTGTGTGTGTTCGTTCGTTCAAATCGTTCAAATCGTTGGATAAATGTTGCTAAAATACATAAAACATATTACATAGAATGCCCCCACATATATCATATACATATATATATATATATATATAGTTGCCCATCCGGAGAGAGAGAACACTTAATGCTTATACTATGTATGTAACTAGATACCCAAAACCCAAATCCAAATCCAAACCCAAACCAACTCCAACTACTTTCATTTCCCATACCCATTTCCCATACCCATTTCCACTGTTTTCCTTATGTTGAGTCGGTTTTTGTATATATATTCCCCCCCCCAGCAATCAGCAAATTGCTGTGTGTGTACTTTAAATGTAATGCTTAAACTCTTTTTTTTTTTTGTTTTTTAATAGCATCTTAGGGCTTCTTCATACGAGAGAGTTTTATGTATTTATTAGGCAAAACGTTTTGTGTGGTCGATGGATGAGGATAAGGATAAGGATAAGGATGATAAGGCTTATCGATGGTCAGTTAATTGTTAAAGAGAATTGCGTAATGCTTAATTTAATTTATCGTCATTGATTACGCCCAACCCAACCCTCTTTTATACTTAATAATTGCGTGTACTTCTCCTAATTATTACTATTAAATATATGTATACACCATTTTTTTTTTTTAATAACTTAAACTCCTGTTTTTCGTGTGTTTACCTGTATGCATAAGTATAAATACATACGTACATAAATACTACATACATAAATGCATACATACATAAATATGTTTGTGAGTAAGCTGAAACAGACGAGAAAGAAACGATGCGAAAATTGTGTTTTAATTTGTAGTAATTTCAATTGATTTTGTTTGTGTCAGAGAATCTGTAGTTCTGCGCGACGGAGAATGCAAACGACGAAAACAATGATGCAAATTCTATATTAAATGTATTCTATTACATAGTAATTATTTTATAGATAACTAATTTAAAATATATTCAATAAAAACAATACGAAAATTCAACTTTGCGTTTCATCGCATTCACGCAGAGCTTTCGTGTCTGTGAGGGTGAGGCAGGCATGCATCATAGCTGAGCGCAGAGCAAGAGAGACATACTGAAAGCTGAAAAGCTCCAAGCCCATGACTGCGCGCAAATATCTAAATCGATTTGATATTCTGTGTTAATATCTATCCTCCTGAAGCTCGGCAGCGCCCGCTCTTTCGTCTATCTCTCCCAGCTTCTTCGTTCCTGCACTGTCTCGCGCTCTCTCTAGCTTACGTTTTTCCTCTTAGAGGACTTAGCGGACTGCTGCCACCTGCTTCAACGCTCTCTTTTGATCGCTTTCTCTCGCTCGCTTCTAAAAGCTTCTTCATGGCAGATAGTCAACATACTGTTGATTTCAATTAACTGTAAATGTAAAGCTGTTTGAAGCTCCCTCTGTACAGAACTGGGAAATAAAAGTGCTCATTTCTGGTTACAAAACTAAAATATTTGGAACATAGTTGCCTGGGATATTGTCTACTGTCAGCCCAGTCGTTCACTTCCCTCACTTTTCTCAGTAACAAACAAGTTGTACACCGAATAACACTACAAAATAAATACTAGTCTCCTCTAAATTATTAAATTATTATTTGTATTTCCTTAGTCAGTGATTGTATGTAATTCATTTTTGGCCATGAAGAAACATGAAGAGTTGGGTGGGCTGGGCTCTCCCGATCCGAGATCCTCTTGGCCTGTTGGCCGTGGTAGCCAAAGGCTACCTACAAAGGAAAAGCCCAAACCCATGCAAAAGCCCACTCCCAAGCGTGCACAACGGAAGGTCAAGGCGAGGACGATAATTAAGATTTCTGCCTACCAACCGTTCAACTGTTCAACCGTTCAAAATTATCTGTAAGTTCAACAGAATTGAGTGACAAAACTTCGATTTGCTTTTATTTAGTTTGACATTTCCCATTCCCTCGCAGGTTACACAACACTAGACGCACACTTCCACACATTTTACCTTTCTTTCTTACCAAGCCTTGATGGTACCTCCCCACATCCTCCACTTCCATGATGTGAGGATGTGGGTGATGTGGATGGCATCACAAACACATTGTTGAAGCTTTTTCCGCATAAAAGGTGGGTGGATTCCGCAAATTCCTTAACTCTAAGCTCAACCATTTATCCTTCATTCCATTTAGATATACCTATCCATCCTTTCAATCTATTTTCAACGCATAATGAGGACACTCTACTACACATTTGATCTATTTTCAACGCATAATGAGGGCCGTAACTACTCTTCGGACACTCTACTACACATTTGATCTATTTTCAACGCATAATGAGGGCTATAACTACTCTTTGGACACTCTACTACACACGTGGAAACATGAATTTCAACGCCAATGAGTATTGGTAAGTGTACGAATAACCATAACACGAGTTTGAGAGATGGATTTTTGACTTTTTTAACTCTTAAGGAAAATATTTGATGGATCCGCAGAGGGGATCGCAGAAACTAGCAATTCGTAAGAGTCAGATATCATTTGATTCTTGTTCCATACCACTTATTATTATTAATTATGTTCTGTGTTCCTACAGGCAGTGCTGGATACGGTCCTAGGGACTTATGATCGCAGTTCTGTTATGTTATTGAATTATCGTTATAAAACTAAATATATAACTTGCAAGTAACCCAATTTTTGTAATAGTGTTTTTGGGTTTGGTTGGGTTTGGGATCCAAGAGTTGTAAATCAAAATTCGTTTAATTCTGCTGCATGGTAACTACACAGGCTTGCATGTGACACGTAAAAAGCTGACAACAGCGAGCTTTTCGCCGCAAGGGGCGCCACTGTTGTATGTGTCTAAGAAGTTGGCTAAAAGGTGCAGATGTTGCTGAGCAAATGTATGCACGCAAATGGTTGCGTGCACAGCCAGTTATAGACCCAGCCACATATTAAGGAGCTTTCCAGGGTAAGTTGAACAAACGGGTGAGGCGGCAGTGTTGCAAGCATTGTGTTTTCTCGTGCGGTCCATACCTTGCTTCTGCACTCAGCAACACACGTTTGTTGCCGCGCAACATTTGAGGCTGGCGTCGTTTTTGAAAGAAACGAAACGGCCTTGCCGCCCCCAAATGTGAACATGAATGAACGGGCCGCGGACAAGGAAACGCAGACGAAAATGCCGAATTGTTTACCAAAATCATAAAAGCAAGTTCCGTTGATCTAACCAACTATATTTCCAATGAAAGAATATATGTTTGATATGCAATAACGGTGCTCTCGCTGCGTTAGCGTTATCTCGACCACCATCGCTCGACTTTCGCTCAATTTGGATTCGGGTCGGCGGCTTGTCTCTCGCAACGCATTCCAACCAAGACTTTGGCGCGCTTTGAAAACTGTTCAAAATAATACAAAAAACACAACAAACAACAAACAACAAAATTGTGAGCGTTTTTCTTTTGTGCGGCAATGTGTGTCGTCGTCGTTCAGGACCCAAAAGGGCCTTGCCCCTAAAACAAAACCTACTAAAATCACACAAAATATTAAAAGAATAAAACAAAATAGAAGCATAAATAAAACATAGATAAAAATACATACAAATCGCAGAGTTTGTGCTGAAATCATGCCCTTGAAGACGGGCGCCAATGGCGGCGGCGACTACGATTCCCAGGACGAGGCCAGCACAGAGCTGCTGGAGAAGCTGAAGCATTTGGATCGCCGTGTGGATGCCGCTGAGGGTGGCGGCACTGGCGGCCTATGCGGCCGCCGATCCTCCTGCTGGCAGTCAATGAGATGGAAATCTGCCCTCAATCATATTGGATTGCTCGTCTCCCTGTCCATCTACTGCGGCGTGGGTGGCTTGGTAAGAAGCGTAAAATTAAGTCCAAATATTTAACTCGATTTCTGCTGCTCTGTTTGCTGGGGCAACGAAATAAAAGGCAAAGCCAAGGCAATGCCAAAAATTGAAACTGAAACAACAATTTTCCAGCGTCTAAATAGCATTGTGTTTGTTTTTGGGATTGGGATTGGGGTTGGGGTTGGGGGGGGAACACCCAAAATATTTATTGCACTGAAAATACTAAAAATTAGTTCAAAAATGTAGACATAAAAACTATTTTGTACATTTAAGTACCAGACATGAACGAGCAAGAGCACCCACACGCCCCACTCGTTCACCTCAAAAACTGCTAATTGCCATTGCACATCCATCAGAGAGGGAGAGAGCAGACGAGCAGACGAGCAGTCGAGCAACTGCATCGTTGAGGTCTGGCCGTCCATGTGTGACGGCTGAAATATGGAGGGATTGACCATCGGCTCCATCGCTCCATGCGTCCATTGGAAATGGACTGGTCGAATGGTCGAATGCTGTTTGTGGGCTCTCTTGTCTAAACATTTACATTTTCGCCAATGACGTCGTCGTAGCCGCTGGGCGAAATGCTACCAAAAAGTGATGCCGTCAGTAGTCGTTGCGATGCAGCTGAGGCAGACCGAATACGGCCAGTGGTGGGCAGTGTGGCTTTGGGTTGGGTTGGGTTGGGTTGCTGTAGGGAATAGACGGGGAGGGGCCTATTAACGATGTTTCCTACAACTTGACATATGGCCGAGTGTCGTGACGGCAGGGTATTTGTTATATTGCCTCTCAATTTCCTAAGGCATTCGAATTGGCGATGCGGCTGGCAGGAGGTAGTTGGGTGGCGGGCACGTGGGTGGACTTTTGGCATGAGTGTTGGTCCCAACCCAATGATTGGGTTGAATGAACGATACTGCCGGGTTTCATGGAGGGAATGAATAAATCATTTAATTCAGCAAAATCTCACATATCGGAGCCACTTTGCACAATTTTCTTCTTTACGCAAGCTTTTTTTTAAGTTCTTCTAATAATGTTTGTTTTTTATTGTTTTTATAATTAAAAACAGTTTTAGTGTGTCTCTTTTTTAATTTCAGTTTTTGATATTTTTTATATTTTTTTTGATTTTTTTTAATTTTAATTTTTGTTTCTTAATGATTTTGAAATGTCGTTTTTTAATTGAATTTTGCTAATTTGAATTTTTGTAATTTTCACTGGCACCCAGTTTTGTTTTGTGGCTTAAAAAATAATTACAATTTCTGTTCTGCTGCATTTTGAAAGGTTAAGATTGAGTGAATTTCAGCGACCACTTGGCTTGGCCACTGATGATTCATGTTGGCTTCTTTGATACTTCTGGACAATATCAAATTTGTATTTCGAACTTGACTTCGTCTCTCAGCCTCCATCGACCACTCGACCCCGTCAACACCTTTGCTTATATCTTTGTATGTTTGGCAATTTGCAAAACGATTTTCGGCGGCACCAAAAGCCATGCATTAATCAAGCAACACATTTTGTATTCAAACGAATTATCAAGTACTGACGCCTCTAGCCAATGCCCGGACCCTTAGCTATAAGTGGCCCCAAATCAGCTTTTGCCAGCGTAGTCCATCCATACACCACATGTTGGCCAATTATGCACACTTCTCGGCCGAAATTGCTCATCAAATTTGTTTCAAAATTCACAAGCAAGCAACAAGAAAACAAAAAAAAAAAACCAGAGAAGAAAAATCATTTGTTATATGTTCTCCCCGCCCAGCAATTCCCAGTGTTGATGAGTGGGCAGTGGGCAGTGGAAAATGTTCCACAAACATTTCGCTACGATTGGAATTTTGATTTTAGCTTAATGCAATTTATTTTGCGACCCACACTTTGTGCTCCGGGGAAACCCTTCTACCCACATACATATATCCCGGAGTACATTCCGGCTGCTGAACGAAACGGAAATTAATTCACCGGACAACTGTCTCTCAGCCACGGACACTGTCCCTGTCACACTGTCTCCACGTCAGCATATCCGATAGCTTGCAAGTTTTTTGTTCTACTTTTTTTCTCGCTCTTACTTTTTGGTGCGGAAATCGAGTTGAAAGTCGGGGGAAACTCTTGCTAAGGCACTGAACATTGACCCGAGCCACTACCTCAAATGAAAATGAAAAGTTTTCTGCCTTGTAACACCTAAGAATGATCACAGCATGACTTGGGTTCATTTCTGGGAATTGTTGTGTTATGAAAAAAACGCATTCCACGAGCTCCAATTGCCTTTCGAAATGCCTCACAAATAATTCAAAATGAGTGCCATAAGTCAAGTAAAACACGCATTTAATCTGTTTAAGTTCAATCAACTTAAACATTCAAATTTTAAACATAAATTATGGGAACATAACACAGATTTCGATTCCCGTTTTATTTATTTTGTTCAATTATTGAAATATGCTTGACGTAGGTTTGTGCAGTTTGTGCGCTCCTTTAAATCCAATCCTCCAGCTGGGCTTATCGCCCAATTAAGGCAACAACTTTGGGCCGCTTCAATTGATTGAGCTGGCCATAAAAACAATTGACATTTATAGACGGATTTTATGGGTTGGTTCGGCCAAGAATGTGATCCAAGTTTGTTTAGAAATTAAGTCCAGACCTGGCCATGCCCCCAAGGGAACCCCAGCCACACATATGGTCAAAAATCAGAGGAGAAGGCGAACCGAGATGCGCTCCAAGTGAGTGGCTACAAATCATTTTAATTAGCAGTTTGTCCACTCCATCGATTCACTTCTCCCCACATTCTTTCCCCTTTGTGGCCTCAAAAGTGGCGTCTGTCTTCAGTGGAAAATGAAGCTGAAGCCAAACTACATAAGTTTGAAGGCCAAATGAATTAAGTTCTTGGCCGAAAGCCATGCAACAACAATAACAACAAAAAGCTATTAGACAAGCCAAAACCAAACCCAACTTTCACTCTCTATCCCTCTGTGTGTGGGTTATCTGATTGACTGACCCATCCAAGCCTGCCCAGACATGATTTTTCATATTGGTGTCCGCTTAAAGAAGGAATTCGAGATTCCTGAAACGGAACTAGGCACGGCCCCAGCAATATCGTAGCGCGCGGATGTTTGCCTTTAAAAAGCACAAAGAGAATAATGACAATAAGTGGCAGGAGCAAAGGGAAAATCACGTCACGTCACGGCATTAGACAAATATTTAAAGCGTTTCGGCGCTTGAAGAAATTGAGTTAGGATCTGTAACTCGAACTTAAACTTAGAGTTGTAGAAGTATTTCTAGGGCAGCTTAAAGTCCGTTGATCAATAAGGATCAACAAATGTGCTTTTAAGTAGCAAATGTAACATGAGGGAAATGGGTAACCCCAACTATAATATCTGGAACTCTGTTCGTTTGTTTTGCGCAGCCACATATTAGCCATTAGGTGGGGTAAATCCTAATAATTGTTCGTCATTTGCACTGCCCACTGTAACACACTGCACACACTGTAAATGTGTACGTACCTGCAGGCCGTTCTCTCGCGTCTTCATCTCGCACCTTTCTTGCTTTCCTTCGCTATTACTCTCTCGCTCTCTCGCTCGCATTGGAGCACGGGCGGGTGGTGAGTTTTTGGCGCTAGGCCCGTTTGAGGTGAATATACTAATAAGCCGTTGTGCCAGAAAGGGATAGATATAGAGATATTGGTACTTAAAAATAAAATAAAAAATAAATGATCAAATCAACAGATCAAGTAATCAAATAAATTGTAAATAAATTCGCACAAGGAGATGTCTCTTCTCTTCTCTTCTCTTTCCCGTAACTAATCAAGTAAAAACCTCAAAAAGTCAATTCAAATAAATAAAGTTCAAGGAATTTAC